TATATTGAAATTAAAATATCTTGTGGATTTTATTATTAACAATGTAATTAATCTATTTAAAATTGGTTTGTAGTACAATAAACATTTAGCAAGGAATGTGCTTGTAATTAATTGGTAATAAACCGAAATCCACTTAAGCGAGATTAAGCCCTGGATTTGAGCCTCATTCAGGTTGATACTAATTTCCCGCATAAGCGAGTCGCACGGTGCGTGCCAGCATAATTGTCAAAAGTTGGCAGTCACACTCCATCAACCCTTGATGGCTGCGAGTCGCAAGGGCGCGCGAGGGTCCCCGAAGCGCCATTATTTCTGCTGCCGAACGAACGAGGCAAGTTGGCTGGTCGCGGCTGCGAGAGAGCAGAACGAACGACTTTCTCGTCTTATTTCTATTCGGCGAGCGTCTCAGGTGTGACTCGGGCGTTTAGCTCGAGTAATAAAGTACAGCCCTCTTTATTGGGCCTTTTTCTATAAAGAGAGAGATGTGCCATGTGTTCCGCTTGATTCCGAAAAAGGAATTTTTATTGCCGAATGGACTGCCTTATTTTACTTACTAGAGAGCGAGAGAGGAAAAAAAGAATGAACAAACTTTATGCGGGCGTATAAAAATTGGAAGCGGTAAAAATAATCTCCGAGGATAAAACGCGACCACAACGCAGCTGGTCTAATTGAATTCGACCCCAGCGGTGTCTTCTTGAATTCCTTTTTATTCTTTCTCTCTCTGCTTTTCTTATTTACTCCCAGGCAGGGATTGCAGTTGACGTAGGGGTGGGCAAATTGTCGGCTGATTTGAATTAGGAAAGCAGCGGAGCAGCAGCGATTTCGATCATCACGTGTGACGCGCACGCACGGGGTGCAGTCAGATATGAAACAGGCTGCGCTATTACCCTGATTGAATTAGCTGCTGCCGGTGGAGGTAGTTGAGCTTGTCTCTGCGGCGCACACGTTATTTGTCATTACGAGACGAGCAGAGACCTGCTGGGCGCTCGCACCTGCTTCGCTCCTCTTTGATCGAAATCTGCGGGCACCGTTGTTCACGATTGATTACTTGCTGTGGATGTTGCGTTGACACGATGCAAGTCGAAAGCTCTTGGCTAGATAACATTGGGTTTATCCACTTAAAGCTCTAATTATAACAAAAGTCAAAATCAGAATAAAATTCATCAATCAATGCGTTGCATGGAAAATTTTTATCCCGACAAAAACATCCAACTATCTTTGCCAATAGACCAGAATTTAGATTTTTTAGGAGCCACGACTAACTTAGTTCTATCTAAACTCAATACCATGAATTTGAAAAAAAGATTTGCCCTTCCGGTTTCGGCCATTTTAATTGAAAGTTAAATTTCTTTGTAGATATATTATCTTTTTAGCGGTGTTTCACATTTCAACAAAGAAACACTGATATAATAGTCGAATTCTCAAGTTTTGGAGCCCCCAAAAACATTCATCTATATATGCCAATAGACCAGAATTTAGATTTTTGAGAAGCCACGACTAACTTAGTTCTATCTAAACTCAATACCATGAATTTGAAAAAAAGATTTGCCCTTCCGGTTTCGGCCATTTTAATTGAAAGTTAAATTTCTTTGTAGATATATTATCTTTTTAGCGGTGTTTCACATTTCAACAAAGAAACACTGATATAATAGTCGAATTCTCAAGTTTTGGAGCCCCCAAAAACATTCATCTATATATGCCAATAGACCAGAAATTAGATTTTTTAGGAGCCACGACTAACTTAGTTCTATCTAAACTCAATACCATGAATTTGAAAAAAAGATTTGCCCTTCCGGTTTCGGCCATTTTAATTGAAAGTTAAATTTCTTTGTAGATATATTATCTTTTTAGCGGTGTTTCACATTTCAACAAAGAAACACTGATATAATAGTCGAATTCTCAAGTTTTGGAGCCCCCAAAAACATTCATCTATATATGCCAATAGACCAGAATTTAGATTTTTGAGAAGCCACGACTAACTTAGTTCTATCTAAACTCAATACCATGAATTTGAAAAAAAGATTTGCCCTTCCGGTTTCGGCCATTTTAATTGAAAGTTAAATTTCTTTGTAGATATATTATCTTTTTAGCGGTGTTTCACATTTCAACAAAGAAACACTGATATAATAGTCGAATTCTCAAGTTTTGGAGCCCCCAAAAACATTCATCTATATATGCCAATAGACCAGAAATTAGATTTTTTAGGAGCCACGACTAACTTAGTTCTATCTAAACTCAATACCATGAATTTGAAAAAAAGATTTGCCCTTCCGGTTTGGGCCATTTTAATTGAAAGTTAAATTTCTGTGTAGGTATATTATCTTTTTAGCGGTTTTTCACATTTCAACGAAGAAATACCGATATAATAGTCGAATTCTCAAGTTTTGGAGCCCCACCAAAAACATTCATCTATATATGCCAATAGACCAGAATTTAGATTTTTTAGGAGCCACGACTAACTTAGTTCTATCTAAACTCAATACCATGAATTTGAAAAAAAGATTTGCCCTACCGGTTTCGGCCATTTTAATTGAAAGTTAAATTTCTTTGTATATATATTATCTTTTTAACGGTGTTTCACCATTCAACAAAGAAACACTGATATAATAGTCGAATTCTCAAGTTTTGGGGCCCCCCCGAAAAACATTCATCTATATATGCCAATAGACCAGAATTTAGATTTTTTTAGGAGCCACGACTAACTTAGTTCTATCTAAACTCAATACCATGAATTTGAAAAAAAGATTTGCCCTTCCGGTTTCGGCCATTTCAATTAATAGAGAAAAAAAAATATTCAGTAGATCTACTATATAAAATTTTGTTAAGCGATAGAATATATATTTGGTCTCCCAATAATCATCAAATAAGCGCGAATAATACAATAAATTTATAAAGAAATCACAAATTAAACTAAATTATTTTGAATGAGAAATTAACACTAATAAAAATTTTGGAATTGAGCCAAAAACATTTATATATTACAATTTATAGAAAAATTAAAATATAAGAATCTGTTAAGGAAATTGCCAGATTTTTTTATTCCTAAAAGGAAGCCTGAAATAATTGCAATATGTTTTCATCCCGAAAATTTTTCTTTCAAAGATCAGCTGAGAAGTCATAGTTTTTCACAAATTCTTTCAAAACATAAACACCAAGCAGCGCGTATATGCACGCTATTGAAAATTCTTCACGCTTTTCGCGACGAAAGAGATGAAAAGCGGCGCGCGAGCTCTCATTTTATTATGTTGCGTTTGAACCTGCTGGTGGCGTTTTATAGTCGACTCGTCTCTGCTTCAGCCGCGGTCTTTGTGCGTGCGTCGAGAAATGCAAAGCCTCTCATTTGCGAGGCTGACCCCGGCCGGCGTCATTACGACGCGCGATTGTCGCGTCCGCGGCCGAGCAAAAACTCGGTGAGACCTTTTGTATGCACTTGGCGAGGAGCAGCAAGAAAAGCGAGCCGAGAAAGAGAGAGACGAGACGGGGATCGACCCATTTTGCCGGTGCTTACTTTAACGTCGTTCTTTGCGGTGGATTACACGGAGTGCACACCTGTGTAGCACCACCACAGGCCCCACTTGCAAACATAAAAAAAAACCTGCGCTCCTTTTTAGCCCGGCGGGCGCAATTACTGCAAACAAGCGCGGCCGCCGACTTAAGGGCCTCCGAATATTATGACCGATTGCGCCGCTGAATTAAGCCGCGCAATTATAAACTAGACCGAATGAGCAAACAATGCTGTGTATGTATGCATGTGGTGACGGTAGAGCTTTCTAGGTGAAAAGCTCTCCTGGGTCCCTATAGATAAAAGTCGTGTATTTATCGCTTGTTGCAGCGACTCGCTTGGGATGTCTAGGTGCGATTCTGAACGGCTGAATGGTTTTACAGTTGCGATGAGATCGCTGTAAATTTCATTCTCCAGAGATGGAATGGGAAAATAAATTGCTCTTTCAAATGCAGTAATAATAAAATATTTATATATTGTTTGAATAAAAAGATCTTTTCAAAACAAGACTTTAAAAGCTGCAGCCTTGAATTATTGAAATATTAAAACAAAAAAAGACAACGTTAGATATTTTTTTTTTAAAACTCTGAAAATCAACAGAACTTAATAAACAAAGTTAGAAGAGGTAAAAAATAATTTAACGCTGGAGCTTAATCTTATCCCAATCAATTCAAACTTAAAACCCCTTGAGAGAAGTTAGTCCTTTGATAAATTTAAAATTTCTATTAAAAAAAACAATTTAAAATATCCTCATTCTCGACAGGTTCTCTAAGGTTAAAAAAGTTTTCACTGGAAAAATCACCTTTTTGATCCATAAAATATTTCACAATCAGGAATGTAATGAATTACCGATTTGTGGATTTTTAAGATCCACAACCTTTGCAAATTAAAAATTAATAAAAATTATCCCCTAGGCATGATCAAAATTTCCATTTCAGCTAGAAAATGGAATTACATGATTTTGTCGATTCCAAATTCATACATAGTGTATCGCAGGGCTATGCAATTATCGAGCGGTGGTGCACATAGTGCTCAAACGAGGGGGGTAATTCGCCTCGCTATTGCTTATTCAACCATAACGAGGGTGCTAGGTAAACAATCCTCTTCAAATAGTGTTTAGTATGTAGCTAGGGCGAGCATACACTGTACTGTGTGTAATGCAAGCCCATCGAAGCCCCTGCGAGTTGAGGAAACGCAACCCGCTGGAATTAGCTGCTTAGCGAATTGCCTACCTCGCAAAGCCGAAAATCTGAATATTGACTAAATACGTGATAATTGTTGCAATTTTGACTTTGCTGACGATAGGATTATCCAGAAAATAGTTTTAACTTGATCTATTTAAAATGCATCATATCAATTTAAAATATAGCCTCTATTTGCCTCTTTTTAAAAAAAAAAAATCAGTATCTCTTATTAAATTTAAAAGTGTCATAAATTAAAAATTAGACCAACTCACCCACCTAGATAATTGTTTAATTTAATTTATTTTAAATTGTTTCAGGTCCAGCTTTCTGGGGATTGATCAATCCCGATTGGGGCATGTGCAACAAAGGTCGGCGGCAGTCACCGATCAACCTAGAGCCATCGAAGCTGCTGTTCGACCCCAATCTGCGGGTGCTGCACGTGGACAAGTCGCGCGTGGCCGGAACTCTGGCCAACACGGGTCACGGGCTGCTCTTCACCGTGGACAACTCGTCGCGGGCCGTCAACGTCACGGGCGGGCCGCTCAGCTACAAGTACCAGTTCCAAGAGCTGCACCTCCACTGGGGCCTCCACGACGGCTCCGGCTCCGAGCACTGGGTCAGCGGAAGTCCCTTTCCGGCTGAGGTGAGGAATTAATTTGCGCCAACATCTGTATCATGCTTGTTTACTTGTGAAGTTGTATAAGGAGCTTATTAATTTCCTGCTTGGATGAATTCTCATGCAAGATTGGAAACTGATTATTTTGATTGGTATTTTGTTCTCAAGGGAAATTAAATAAGAAATTTAGCCAACATTATTAATAGTTGAAGATTGAAAATGGGCAAAAAGAATTATATATAATTTTAAAAAAGGAACTTGAATTGATTTTTTGATGATTTTGAATCAACGAGGCTTATTTAATACAAATGAATAAAAATAATATTCAATAATAGTATTAACTTTTAATGAAAATATCAATTTTCTATATTCAGTCTTTTTTTATCCTCTTGTAAACTCAGAGAGATCCATTTAAAAACAATTTAAAAGGAATTTTTTATAACAAAAATCATTGAAAAATAGCATTTATATCTTCTTCTCTTGGCTATTAATAATTATACTAATGTAAGTTGCAAGTTGCAAAATCCAAATTGGTTGGATTATAAATTTATTGGACTTATACGTCTTATTTCGATCAGAAGAAAAAGATGTCTCATTGATGTGAATACAATTCAGAGAGAAGGAATACAAAACTAAGAGTGGAAAAGATTCATTTAACAATCTATTAAATTGAGAATATTCTAAAGGTTTCCAAGTTTCATATATTTGTGATGTTTTTTTTTTCATGATATTTTTAGTTAAAACTAATCAGTTATAATTTATTAGTAATTATTTTTAATAAAATTAAAAAATTATTTACGAAATAATATTAAAATTTGAAAATTTTATTTATAAAAAAAAAATGAAATAAGTTTATTCCAAATTATAAAAAATGTGTTTTGATAAAATTTAAAGATTTAATATTCCGTCATCTTATTTTATATGTCATGAAATGAATCATACGTTTTGCCCAGCAAAAAACGGCAGAGAGACATTCTGGCCTCTCATAAAGATCCAGCACCCTGTTGAAACGCCGTAACACGAGCGCATTACAATTTAAAGCCAAGCCTTCGACGCCTTCAAATTAGCGCGTCTCCCACTTAACGGAGTCGTTGGCGAAAAAAGCCGGCGATGGATTTTTCCGATAATGGTAAAACAACACGCCCGGCGGCTCTCGGAAGCTCGACGACAACGAGCGGTACTTTACACCGCACAATTCCCGACGAAATTTCCTCCGTCCGGAGAAAAAGACGCCGCGGGAGAGGATCGATTAATCAAGAATCGATAGGGTGCAGCACATAAGGGTGGGTCGGGGTGGCGACTTCATCAATCAGCCGCGCGCGCTAAAACAAGCATGTTATTAGAAATTGGCTGCTGCTGCTGCGAAAGCCGGTGTGCGGTTAATTTAATGGAAAAGGGCGGCTTGTCAGGGGTTATGACACCCCGTGTGCGTCGACGGCTGCGATTTTCGTCGAGCATGAGGTCTCCTCTCTATCGCCGGCGCCGTAAAAACTCGGTGACGTGTGTTTTATTTCGGAGAAAAAGACACGAATAACGACGGGGAAGCACAAAAGCTGCTTTTTACGGTCTTTCCTCAGATTTCAAGGGTTTTATCTCAAACCCTCCTTTCCTGTTTTTTCAAACGGTACTTTTTATCCTCTCAATAAAATTAAGAGCTTGAGAACATTTTCTGATTAATTGTATTGGTTAAGCTCGGGGGAAAATCAGTGATTTTTTAGAAGGAAAAAGATTTATCTCAAAAGGCCAATGAGATGAACAGAGATGGAATAAAATTTTTTAACAATAGGAGATTTTTGTAATCAAAAAGTGATTTTAATTAAAAAAAAATTTTTTTGATCTAAAATTTAACCAGAGTTAATCAAGCAACTCAATCATCAATGAAATAATTCAAATTTTTATTTCTTTTAACGAACTTTTCTGGTTTAAAATCAGGTAAATTTCTTTCAACTACTCCCACTCTAGAAATCTTATGAAAATTTTAAGTGGAGTCCGCAGAAGCAGTAAAAACTCTGCAGTTGAAATTATGTGCATCACATATAATTTTAGGTCTTACTTGATTGTTTTGTAGATTTTGATGCTGTTGTATTTTTTCCTTATTTATTTTTTTCAATTACGTCCAAACTTTTCCTTTTCCGTGTGTCATGCGTCGTCTCGGTGGGAAAGTTTGCGTAGTTTGAAATTGAAACGAGATCGAGGAGGGAGGGAGAGAGGTGCATTTTATTTGGCCCCAGTGCCGAGCGATCTATCCATCCATCTGCGGGTCGAATAAATTGGTTGTGATGCATGTCAATCGATCCGACGTGCGCGTATCTTTTTTCTATCTTTTATTTATCCAGTCGTGAGAGAGTCGTGGAAGAAGAGCGAGAGGGAGAGTTTGAGAATAACATCTTCGTCGCCGGTCGGCAGTTTCGACACGTGAAATGGGAAACGCAGTCGAGCTGAAAAATCGTCCGCGTCCCACTCGAATGGCACGTCGCTCTTCATCGCGATTTGCCCCGCCGAATATATATAAAGTGCGTTTGCTCTCGGCGGAAATATTTGGCCAATGACATGCAGGTCGCGTGGAACGGGTGACGAATGTCGCTCTTGACAAATCACGCGACGCCCAAGAATGCGAAAGAACATTTATGGGGTGCAACTGGTTGGGCGCTTTTATTTATGCGCCCGTCGCTCGCCTCTCTTGGATAAAGAAGGAAACCGCTATATCAGGTGCCCCCCCACGTGACAAATCGACCCCAAACGTGGAAATCTTACTTAATCAGTGGGCGGGGTGGATTTCGCGTGTGACGAGGGCCGGACTGCCGGCGAACCTTGTTAAGATTTTTAAAAGATTAAACTCCAAATGGCATTAAAATGTTAAATACATCAAGGTTAAGAGAGAATTTGAAACAATTTTTTCCCTGAGGTTTTTTTACATTATACAAGGCCAGTGTTAAGTCAAAACAACAATTTTAAACATAAAATATTATATTCTATAAAAATTTGCTTCGGAAACTGTGGTCAGCAATTTAAATAATTATTTTATACCAAAACAATTAAGTTAAAACAGTTACGCAGATATCAAAGGAATGCAATTGTAAAGTAATTTACATTTTTTGCATCCCCTTTCAGCACAACAATGATATAAATATAAATTTAAAATTAATTTATATTTGTAATAAAAATTTTGAATTTATTTTCAGTCAAAAATGCAAAAAAAATATTAAAAATACTTTTTGTGATTAAAAAAATGTATAATTTAATTTGACAAAATTATGTGATTTTAACATAAAAATAAGAAGCTTAATTGCGATTGTTATGAATTATTTTGATTTTTTTTAATAACTTTTATCGATAATTCTTATTTCGATATGATTGTAAGTAAATATTACACTTGCGTATCAGTGGCTCAATTTATAAATTATATTGAATTTTTCTCATTTTCTCCTTTCAAGTCTGAATTTTCTTGTTAATCATTTTTTTTCTTTCCACTTTTGAAGAAAATAAAAATTAATCTTAAATACATATTTTGAGCTACTTTTAAGTATCAGAAAACATGATTAAAATTTAATACATTTTTTCCAATGCCAATATCAGCCCAGTCCGTGCCTGTTAGTGAACGGTGCACGCCCGGCGAGTGAAATATCCTGTTCAACAAATAGAACGACGCCCTGAGGACCACGACTTATGACAAATAATAATTTCCTTCCTCTGCGTGCACGCCGCGCGCGCGATGCCATTTTTACGATTTTATTTTGCGCGCTGCCCCCGGGGCTGGATAAATTGTTATGTGTGTGATATTATGTGTGCTCTCTGGGAGAGAACAGGAAATTCGGGTTTTCTTTCTCTCAGTTTCCCCGAAATTCAGTCCCCGCTCTCTCTCCTCCCATTTAAATTGCCAGGCGCCTTTATCTCCTGCCGGGATCGCCATGAATAAGCAAACCAAGCAAACTTTTGTTGTCCTGCGCGTATGTTTTATTATTTGCTGCCCGAAGCCGGCACCAGCCAATTGCTTGCTACACGTTTTCCTTTCTCTTTTTTTATGGAACACACACGCCGGCCGAGAAATGAAACTCGAGAGCTGCAAGTGGGAAAAGACATCTTTTTTATCATGCCAGCGAAGCAATCTGCAGCTATAAAAATATTAGGCCGCCCTTATATACTGCACCTATTCTGCTGAAAGTAGAAGTAGTTTTACGAGAACAGGCGCACAAAAACAATCTTATGAATTTTCATTTGATTTTTACGAGCGGCCCAATTGCGCGCCTGCAGGTGGATTGGCAACGGAAATTTTCATGGAAATCGTCGAGCTCTACTCGTGTTGTGTATTTTTATAAATAAAAATGCGCGCCTGCAGTTTTTTCCGTTCCACTGTGGTGGGTGCGTGTGCGCGCCAATTGAAGAAGGTGCTTGGCAACTTTAATAAAATAGGGCTGCCGGCGTCGACCTACTCAAATCTAGCGCCCGAGCTGTTGCTCTATTCAAAACCAGAGAACTAGATTTTCACTCCAAAGCTTGCAGTTTTTCTCCCGCTCGGAAGCACACGGACAAAATTAACTTTTTATAAAAATGTGTATAATAATTGGTTCTGTTGGGGGGAGAAACGCTTGTTGCAAATTTATTTTCCGCTTCGGTTGTTTTCCCTTCGGCTCGCTGACTTTTCGAACACATTACTTCGAATTTCGTCTTCCACGTACGCAAATTATTTTCTGTTGACTCGCCCCTTGACAGGCTGTTAGCAGAGAACTCGCATGCAACAGCAATTTGAATTATATACATATATATTATTTGACAATTTTTCAGCACAGATTACAAATTATTTTTTTAGGCTGGAAAGTCTTTTGGATATTTCTGAATTTTTGCGACATTTAATGCAGAACATTATTAAATGATCGCCAAATATTCAACTTAATGCTATAGACAGAATAATTGCGGTATATCATAATTTTTATGAACAGATTCAGGAGTTTATCCGTGAAATACTCTAACTTAAATAATTCATTATATTATAATAGATGATTTCAAAACCCCAATATTCTGAGAATCACATAGATCTTTGTTTTGCTTTTCAGCCAAAAGTTGTAAGTAGACATGGTAAATATGTGTTTTACATTTGCAAATTGTGGTCTTCCTTTTTCTGCTTCTCATAGGGGTTGACAATGGCTCAAAGAGCTTGAATATTTCTATTTTAAGCAAAAATATTCTGAAATAAATCATCAACAAAAACGGACTTAACTGACACATCTTTTTTGCAGAAACTACCAAAAAACAAAGTATAAATGACCAATTTTTTGGCATTCGGTAATTGTCTGTGAATTTCTGAAGTAAAGTGTAAAAACTAACATTCAAAATTCAAATATTTGGCTTTGGCAACTAAAATTCAGCACATAAATATTGGACTTAATTGGACTTAAATATACTAAATATTCCGAAAACCGCGGTAAATTATCACAAGCAAAAACTAAATGTACAAACAAACCAATTTTAAATGTGTTCCTCTTAAAATTAAGCAGCAGAGAATTTTGCATTATGCTTCAATTTAAAATTTTTATTTTAGTTAAAGCTTACTGAAAATTAAGAAATTTAATTGAAACCTAAAAATAATTTTAATTATTTCACTGTAAAATTTTTTTACCAACTCTTCCTAATTGAATTCCAACTTCATTAGGGTTGACCAGGATAATTATAAAATGGACAGTCCCAGGTGCTGGAAATTACGGTTAACTTCAACATGTCTTGGGTTTATTTTATTTTTCCACAACTTTTCTCTATTAATCCTTTTGAATGGCACTCTTTTCAAACCAGTTTCTTTCTAACAAACCTAGCAGTGACGAGAAAAAATAATGTCAAAGCACTTCCATGTAACCAGCGCAGCATTTTCTATTTACGAAGCGATCAAAATTTCATGGCACTTATTCGTGTTGCAGATCCAGCTGTTGGGCTTCAACTCGCAACTGTACAGCAACTTCTCGGACGCTCTGAACAGGGCCCAGGGCATCGTGGGCGTCTCGCTTTTGCTGCAGGTAAGAATTATTCAGCGACTCTCACAGAGCGGCGTTTTTTTTTTTTTATAACTTTTTAAGCGTGCGGAATAACATCGTATAATAATAGAAAAGAATAAAACGAGAGAGCAGGTTGGCAGCTGGCGGCGTTATTGTTGCACGCGCTGTTCGTTTTCCAATAATAACGCCGACGGCGGCGACATCTTGGCCCTATTAGAACACGTGCTGAACCCTGATACTGCCGGTAATGGCCATTCAGGAGGGTCATTAGGGCCCCTCTCAAGGGAGTCGCAACCGAAAGTGTAATTTGGCTGAGTGAGCTCGCGGCGGCGGCAACGGCGGCGGCGGCCGGGATTTTCTTATTGGCACCAAATTTTATTTCTGCCTAAAATATTGATGGCTGCCGAGTGCCGTGCGGAGCGCGAGCCAGCGAACGGAACGACGGCGCCTGTCAAAGGTGAATTGATGTTTTGACAATTTGAAAGAGAAACGTGATATTTCCGCGGCCCATGACGGTGAACGGTCCGCCGACGCCTCGCAACTCGCGCCAATTTTATTTATGATTTTTTTTCTCTTCAAAATGATTTACTCTTAAACCGAAAGATATAATCAAATTTAATTGAAGTTTTTAATTAATTTTATTATTAATGCGTTTAAAAAATAAAAATAATTTATACCTTTTTTTTCAGACTTAAAATTAGTCTAATAGTTTGTTTGCTTTTTTTAATTAAAAATTATAATGAATTTTACTTATATTTATATTTATCACTTTAATTGGTTCAACTTTTCTTTTGTTATAAATATATTCAATAATTATTATTAGTTTAACCTAATTGAGCCTGATTATTATTAGTTTATATTATAACTAACAAAAAAGTTTTTTTTTTAAACAAAGAAATCAGCGCAAACTAAAGAGCAAAGAAAGAAACTCAGCTAACGTTTCTGTTAAAGTAGCTTTCATCTAATTTTAAAGCTTATTTTCTAGTTTTGCTACAATTTATAATGAAGTAAATTTAAAAAAAAAAAAACATTTTTAAATCAATGGAATGTTTGAAGTCGTCTTATATTCTTAATAAATTACAAAAAATACAATTTCAAAAGTCTGCATTATTATGTAGTAATTCCTTATTTTGATGTTTTTTATAGAAGTTAAGCAAATTCATTACGAGGGGTGGTACCTTAATTTCAAACAATTTAATATTTTCAGCCAATAATTAGTATTTTCGTTGCATTTTAATTAAATAAACAACAACAATAATAATTTTAATAGTAATTTTCTAAAAAAAAAAACAATTATCTTTAGGATTTGTTACGCTTTGAGAAATGACAACTGACTTTTCACTTCTCGCTCTTCGCTTTTCAATTCTTTCTTTCTTTCATCGCACGCGCGAGAGCAAAACTTTGCTGCTGCTGCGCGCGATCATAATAAATTTGCGGAGCCAGGGGGTAATTTCCAACTTTTAAGTACACAAGCAGGGATTTATAACTTTTCTTGTTGTCCGCCGTGGCATTCTCTCCGCGTGTTCACACCCGCCAACTTAAATAAATTTCCTTCTCTTAAAAGGCACGAGATTCGCCACAGCCGCTGGTGGCTGGCCACACAAAAAAAATCAATCTTGGCACGCAACAGGGGCAACAGGAAAAAATATACGAGCATTGGTTTGTGTGTGTTGTGAAAAAGGGAAGTAAACTCACTCGTCGTGCAGCCGAGAGAGACTTTTATAGTGGCTGGAGAGCTATGGGGGAAGCAAACGCATTCAGCCGTGCAAACTTTTCCACTATTTTCCACTGAGGAATCAAGCCATTTAGGCGACAGTGATTGAATTTACGAGTTCAGGTTTTTGACACCTTTGCTCCTGCTGTTGTAAATTGAAAAACTGAAGTGACAAATGAGAGTAAAATAGCATAAAATCGTTTAAAAGAAATTTGGTAGGAAAAATATCCCCTGAGATGGTTGCAACAATTAAATTTTAGGAATATTAGTAGGAATTAGGAAAAAATAAATTCGATCATGTTTCATTCAGCTTCCAAAAAAACTGTCGAAGATTTATTTTAGACATTTTTTGCTAAAAAAAAAAGACTTTTTCAAATAAAATTTGATCCTATAAAAAGTCATAATTTAGGGGAGGGTGAATTAAGGGAATGAATCTTTTTCATGCAATGATTTCAAAAAGATTATTGAGAAATAAAATTCATAATTGAATTTACATTGAATTTCGTGGAAACAATTTATAAACCATCAAATTCCAAATAAAAAACTAGATGACTCTAAAAATAATTTTTAATTCATCTGTTCTGATCCTTTTGCATGAATCTACCTTGCACTAATTCTTAGATCTAATTTAATTCCTTCAATGCCAATATTAAGCAAAAATTTTTTTATTTCCAAATCAGCCAATTTTTTTATATCGGAGATTAAGTGTTAGATTTTATTTTCAGATCAAAAATTTCACAATTGAACTCTTTTTATTCGGTTTTTCTCGGTCATCTCGTCTTTTTTTAATTACTTAAAATTATTTCAGAGCCTTTCTTTGAAAATATAATCTTCCTCTGCATGAATTTTCAAAATTTTGTATGCACACATTTAATTTATTACAAAAGAGTTTTCACGCTTCTATTGTGCTGATTTGAAAAGCTGTCCTCCTGTTTTCAGTGCTCCCTTGGTGTACGAGAGACTGTACATGCATCATTGTGCAAAAACTCTTATGTTATTTGGGCGAAAGTAAATAAATAAAACAGCACGCGAGAGACAGACAGGTGAACCGGCGGCGGCTGCTGCAATCTCTTTCACCCTTTTTTTATTGACGCGCGGCTTCGGCTAAAATATCGCAGGGAATATTCATCCCGAGAGCAAAATATGCACCACGCGCGTGCCGTATCATTTCAGATTTATGCCGATTTTTCGCAGCGTGTGCGTATGGAGGTTTTTTTTTATTTTCAGAGTTAAATATTTCTCTCTTTTGCTCCCTTTGGCCGAATTGTAATTATAAATCTGTCACACGCACACACACGTGGCATGCAAAAGATTGCGCTGCTGCTCTTTGGCATTTTCGTTCCGCGACTTTGAAGAACGGCACGAGCGATATTTTCATACACATTTGATAGCGGATATAATAAATAACTGCAGCCGTCGCGCCGAATGTAATATTTTAAATGGCAGGCACCGGTCGGCGCTTTTTGTTTGCCGGCGAGACCGTATAAAAATTAATCTCTGACTTGTTTTGCTTTCAGCTGGGTGACTTGTCCAACCCGGAGTTGCGGTTATTAACTGACCAGTTGGAGCGAATTCGTTATGGTGGTGAGCAAATTTGTATTCATAGAACAGTAACAAAAGTAAAATAAACTTAATTAAACGTTTTTTTACTTTAATATTTATTATTTAACTTGATATTATTACAAATATTTCCATTCTTTGTGAATTTTAAATTCTTTAAAAATTTTTATATTAAAACAAAATAAATAAATATACAATTTCCTTTCATTGATTTAATTTTTTGGAATCTTGATCACTTTTATTTTCTTATGGTAGGGTATCGCATCAAATTTTTTATAATTTAACGCATGCAATACTCCATGGATAGGAGACAAAATAAAAGAAATAAACCTAAGTTATTGGGGTCTACAGAATTGCAGATAATATTTGATTAAGAAATATCGGAGAAATTCAATGATAAATTTGAGAGGAATAAAATGACACTGCTATAGTCTGAGCAAATAATATGAGTATTCTTATTTATATATGGATCTCCGGCATTAATGTGAACTCTTAATTAATTCTCTCCTTCTAATATTAAACAAATCGTTTAAATTTTGAAAAAAAAAATCCATAAATTTTGCTTAAAGGTGGGACTTGACTTATTTATGGTTAATATCATAATACATGATAACTTACAATTAGAAAAGTGAAATTTTTATTTTAGACGTTTAAGAACTTTGGAGTTCGATTATAAAGTTCTTTGAAGAGGAATAATGCGTGACAGTACTTTGAAAGGAAAATTAAATTCTTCATTTTTTAATCGAGAAAAACTGGTCAACAGTAAAAATGTTAAATTTCGTCAAATAAATTGACAATTCACACGGGAGTCGACAGGACCAATTTTCACCTTACCTTATTTTTTATGGCTGAAATATAATTGTAAATTCCCCTTACAGAATTGGATCCCCGTTGAATTAAAATCTCACTTCCATCGTGAAATGAAGAAATTTATTGGTTCTGCACGATACAGAAAATCCCTGCTCTATTATAAAAACTTGTTTCACCGGCTCAAAGAACATAATTTTTCCTTGAAATAATGCCACCAAATCTTTTAAAGTCATTCATACTAAAAATTAAATACATTAACTAAGCTAATCAAACAATAAATAATTAGCAAAATATGCCAGAAATACCAATTTATCTCCTTTTGATTTAGTGAAACTTTTTATCTAGATCTGTTCAACATCAATTATTTAATTTTGCATTCATTTATCTAATCAAGAATTATGGAGAAATATATAATTTGAAGTGAAACGAGAAGTGACTTGTGGTATAAATTTTGACACTAACAGGACAAGACCAGGAAGTGCGTCGGCTGTCGATCCGCGGGCTGTTGCCAGACACGGACCACTACATGACCTACGACGGCTCTTTCACGTCGCCGGCGTGCCACGAGACCGTCACCTGGGTGGTGCTCAACAAGCCAATCTACATCACCAAACAGCAGGCGAGTACTTTGCGCGTGAAAAATGCACCTGAGCATAGCGAGACTAGGAGTGTTTTTCGGCGATAGGGGTTGCGATGCCCGCCGGGCCACGTGCAATTATTTTTAATCGCTGCCGCGCCGAATTCTGGCGCATTAAAAGAGTGCCGTGTTTGACGTGTAAGCCGATTATAATCCGGCAGCACGCTGTGTGGATAATGAGAGAGCTTAAATAAGGGCCGGATTTTGCATGCAAATTTTTTTCGCTCGGACTGAAAAGGGAACTGAGTGGTGCACCGCTCGCAGGGGATTGGATTTCGAGATTTAAGTGAATCAATTAAAGAAATCGGATCAAATTTGCTAGATGGATTGCCTACTCTCAATGCTGATAAATTTTGCAATTTCTAAAATAGATTTTAATCTGTATAAATGGGTCGATTGTGTTCAAAGGCAATTTTTTTGAATTTAAAGTTTACACTTGAAGCGGATTTCATTATTTGATGCTTAATTGTTGAAGAATTAAAAGGACAACTCGGAAGCTCGGAAGACTTTAAAAAATTGAAAATGAAATTTTGAATGTTTAAAAAAAAAATGCATCATTCATTAAGCAATTGAATTTATAATTTTGAAGCTAAATTGTCACTTATTATAATTTTTTATTTATTGAAAATATAAGAAAAATTTCAGAATATTTTTAAAATTGGTTTCAATTCCAAAATTAAAACGTCTTTTATGTTAAATATCTTACTTGTTTTTAAAAAGTTCATAATTAAAAATAACATTAACTTTTTTATTTAAATTAATTAAATTATCAGAAGAGACTTTAAATTATAATTTATTTGCACTATAAATAGTTTAATTAAAGTTGAATGATATTTTTGGCAAGAATCAATTACAATGTGAAAAACGATTGAGCAAAAAACTCATAATCTCTGCCCCGGTGCAAAACATGCTCAGGGAAATACCAATTTCCGGACAAAATCCGCCTCTTTTTGAGTCCAATGAATGAGAAGAGCCGCCTTTCTATTACAGCGGTTGAATTTTTTATGAAAAGCAACGCAGAACCGGCGTCCGGCACTTGAATCGGAAAATGATGCTGGCCGAAAAGTTGTGCTCTTGGTTCGGCCGAGCCACTCGCGCTGCTTTGTCTAATGAAAAGGCCAAGAACTAATGAGCTCTCAATCGCGGGCCCGTTCAGCCGTGCTATTCATCTCTCCCTCGAATGCGTTCCTCCGCTTTGATTGCTAATAAAAATCAGTAATTTGATGGCCAGCAGCTTGACCCATTTATGAACGGAAGGCAATTTTTAGCGCGCTCTGTTATTTGATAAAGCGCCGCGTTGCAATGACGTAGATAAAGCACCGCAGCGGCCAGACCTAATCTCCAAATTGGAATCTCTTTGTCGCGCTCTCTCTCGAATTCCGTTGCTTTCTTTACCCCTTTGGAAAAATTTTACCCGCATTTCCTTTCGTACGGGGACGACGTATACATTCCTTCCATTAGTGAGCGCTCGCCGAATTAATCTATACATCGCACACTGGAAGTTTTTCATAGTTTGACTCTGCTGGACGCAGCCAGTCACTCATTTTCAGAGATTTTCCGCTGCGATTGCAAAACTTTTATGGGTCAGTGCATTTTACGTCAAGTTCTGTTTTCCCCAGGACTTTCCAAACCTTCATAAGAACTCTTTTTCTTTAACAAGTCTATTCCAGGTTTCCTAAATAAAAGCGCTTCAATTAAAAGAGCCTTTTAGTTTAGCAGAAAATTATCTAATCAATAAGAAAACTGTCTCATCTCATAGATTTTCAAACTAGTTGATTAAGTCGTTTTGCAAGAAGTCTTTCCGTTTCCGACGAAACACAATGGGGCGGAAATTCCGACGTCTCCTTCACGGAAAGAGAGCCATTCAAATCGTCGGCGGGCTGCCGCGATAAATTACCCAAGAACAACAGAGCGTTTCGCAATTTGGTTGACAAATTGCGCGGGGTATTGAATGAAAGAAGAAAGTCTCGCAGGTCAAACAAAGAATATGGCGTGACTGCGGCGCATTTGTTTGAGCAAGGAGATTGGCAGCGCGATGAGTTGTGTTCAGCAAGTCGCTCCATCTCCATTACACTTATATAAATTATGGCTGGCGCAAGCGAGCCAGAAAATCACCAAACTTTCGATTTGCGAGCTGCTGCGTTGAAAAGCGCCGCGGGAAATTCCTTTGTTTTCTCGCTTAATTCGCCGCTAACCTCTTTAGCTAATAACTTATGCCCGGAATTATATCTCGTGTTGTTGCACAGCCAAGTAAATTTAACCTGCTATCTCTCCTTTGAATGTACGCACTCTTTGTGCCCGGCCAAGTGTGTGTTGCCCTCCGCAAGCACGCGTTCCCGAGTTGCCTCTCGGCAAAGTTCAACCTTTCGCAATACAATTGGTTCGAGAGCGAAATGCAAAAGTATAAAGTGTTTGCTTTCCAAGTGAAAAAAGTTCAAAATAACTCATGAGCACAGCTCATATTTTTCCTGGAAGTACCGCTTTGAGGAATTAAAAAAATTATGAAATGAAGATATTATCTTGAAAGTTGGATTTTTTTTAATTTAACATTGTTTTTAAGGGAATTTATTAATGATTTTTTTAAATTTCACAACAGTTTAATGACGATTTCATGAAATCAACTTAATATCCCCCCATTTCAGATGTCAAAATAAAAGTATATTGATGAATTAATTAGCGATGGCCGATGGGAACCTTTTAAACCTTTTTTTATACATAAACCAATATGCACTAATAAACCCCACAATCCTAATATACATTTGAAGTCAAAATTACATTGTTCAATAACCTCAAAATTTCTTGCGTGAAAAATCATCTTGATTGAGACTTTTAGCCTTTCATGACCTATTCTGAATTAAAAATTACTTCGACAGTTGTTTTCGTTTTTTTATTTTAACCTAAGGAAAAGAAAAAGAAAACAATTTTCTGTAAAAAAACAATTGAGTTTTGAAATTTTTAAATTCTAATATTCAAAGCGCTCCGGGTGACAACACTGAAAGCATCGTGCAAACAGTCCTCGGCCGTTGTGCTCCGCACAAAAGAGCCGGCGCGTAATTATAGAATTACTTCTCCACTCACTTTGTGGGTGTAGCACCGGGTTGCATACATTCACCCGCGCACCAGAACCTGTAGCCGGCCGTATCTCTCGTCCCCGTTTTTTGCCGCAACGGGACGCGATTTATGTCGCCGCCCTATTTGCATTATCCACCTGATTGGAACGGGAAAAGCGGCAAAAAATTTATGCGAGCGCTTTAAATTACGCCAACTTGTACGGCTGCATATTATCCGGATTTACCTACAGAAAAATGAGGCAAGCGTTATTGTGTTATAACGTACATGAAACCAAAACGCATAGCAACGAGCTGTGCTTGATTATCCAGTTGATCTCGAATCTAGACGCATGCAAAAGCTTTAATGTTTTATTTTAATTCAAATATAATTTCCAACAAACGGAATCATTAGATTGTTCTGCTACAGTATATTTTTATCATGAATTTTTAGGTTTGATTGTGCTAACGATATGTACATGATTCAATTAGTTAATTTGACATTAAAAGGGAAAAATCCTTAAATTGGTTTAAATAGTTGCATAGATTTGTTGACGTCGCCGTCAAAAGTATTCTTAAAAACATGCTTTTTCTGGCAGTTATGGTATTTGTTTTAAACGATTCTTGGATCGTTTATGGATGAATAAAAAATTTGGTATAAAGTAAAATAATTTAATTAATTTAGATACTTTGAGGACTATTTATCGGAAAATTGATTGCGGATATTTTATGTTCAGTTAGGAAATAGGATAAAAATGACTGTCACACAAAAAACTTTAATTTATTTAATTATTAACTTATAGTTAACATATCTATACTAAAATTTGAAGCAAATTTCATATAAAATAGGACAATAATGAAATTTTATTTCAAGAAATCTAAACTTAAAAAAATAATAAATTTAAGAAGCCGTTTACTCGTCTATAAGATTAAAAATAATAACGTTTTTCTTGCTTATTTATTATTTTTTATTTTAATTCATTAGATCGACTCGATTTTTTATGCCTTAATGCAAATAAAATTTTTTATTTAAATAATTAAATATCAAACACTATACTTTATCTTTTTTTCTTTTAGATTCTGGTAAATTGAAATAGAAAATTCAGGTTTGAGCTTTGGGGAAAGTAATCTGCTAAACGAATAGACCGCAGAAGCGGATCGAGGAGGGCAAACTGTTGGAACGCTAAGTGAGTGAAGTTGGCGATGCCCTTTCGTGCAGGATTTACGGCGCCGACTTTGAATGCGGCACACGTCTTGCTTGTTGCTTGTGTTTTCAACTTGCGCCGAGTCGGGCCAAAACAATTAGCGTGATTGGCTTTCAGCATTCTGGCCGCGGCTAAATCGCGAGAGCTGCACTCGTCTTTTGGCGAAATGCAATTAACGCCGGCGTTTGAACTGCACCCACCTAGTGGCCGACCGACCGACTTAACTCCTCTTTGTCAGGCGCAAAGGTTGGTTGCGAAAGGCCTTTGTGGAATTTGCATTATGCATGAACACCGTCGGCGGGCGCAGCCGCTTTAATACCCATCTTTTCGCCATACGCCGCGCTTGGACAAACAGTAATTAGGAACTGCTTTCGCCCCTTGTTAAAAATTGCCGCGCCCGAAAGACGCTTTTGCCTTTTCGAGGAGGAAAATGGCCAATTCTTTTTGCATAATTCGCGCGGTTGTGGAGTTTTGCGGTGTTTTCTCTTTAAATTAGATTTTCCGACGTGGGATTTTAAGAAGGTTGTTTTAGGAGAGACTTCTTGTTGGCTTTTCTTTGAAATTTAAAAAGGCTCATAAATGTAAAGCGACGGAGAGGGTGGATCACAGAGATTATGTGCATTAATTTTATCGAATTTTATGAGCGCTAGTCAAAGTTAATCTAAAAATTATTCATGAAGCGCTATAATTCATTGAAGTCGTAGTTTTCAACTAATACATATTATGCTGATGCAACAAATTTTGGCTTTAAAATTCACCCTCTGAAAACAGGCAAAAATAAGAAAGTAACCATGCATTGCTATTTTGTTACAAATTTTTGACAGCAAATAACAACTTTTGAGCCTAATGGAAAGTAATTCAACTGAAGGTAAAATAGTTCAATAATTTTTGTGGAGCCTTTTGTGTGTTAATTAAACGAGTTGATTTTGAGAAGAAATTCTATTACAAAAAAAAATTATGATTACATTCGCGCTTTGTAAGTTTGTAGATTTTAAAACATATTCTTTCTCCTCTCGATTCCTTTTCAATGTTATATAATATTCATTATTAATACTTTGATTTGATATGATATTTTATTTATCATAATAATTGAAATTTGCGTTTATTGCACATCATTTGTTTTATGCAACGTGCCCAGTACAGAAGTTGGGCGGGTGGCCTATATTTGAATAATTTATTTTTCTCTTCGAGGCGCTCCGCAGAGCTCAAAAGAGTGACGAGGCGGGCTCTTTACAAAATCAACGCTAATTGAGTTTCAAAACAGAATTCGCAATGAGCGGCCGGCGAGTGAAAAGGGGAAAAATCCGACGAAACGGAGTCACATAAATAATCAGCGAAATTGAAAGGGATTGGAAAAACAACGCGGTGCGCCCTAATTAATTTGTACACAACCGTGGCCAGTCATCATGAAATAAATATTTTTTTGCATCTCAGCCACGACGACGTCAAGCCAAGTTCTTTCTGCGCACAAAGACGCTTTTTGAAAAAGAGCTCTAATTCACTTGGCATCAGTCGGACAAGATCCGCATGCAAATAAACTCACTCGCTCGCTTCTCTCTCTCCCGCTCACTCGCTTTTAAGAAGCGGGGGCAAATTTTTAATTAATGACCTCTCTCGCCACTCCTCTCATCAAAGAAGAGAGAAAGTCTGGTGAAAAGTCGGAAAGCAAGAGATGAAAGAAAATGTCTTTTGAGGTCTGACAAGTGTCCCTTTTTTCTGTTCCAGCTGCACGGCCTGCGACGTTTGGTGCAGGGCGAGGAGTCGACGCCCTCGGCCCCCTTGGGGGGCAATTTTCGACCCCCGCAGCCGCTTCACCACAGACCAGTCCGCACCAACATCGATTTCAACAAACAGGAGGTCAGTATATTTCGCACTGAAATGTGACAGAAAGTTTTATAAATTTAATGTTAAATTAAATGATTAAGCAGCACTTGTGGCAGCAATTTTAAAGTGTCGTGATTATTCTTTTTTTTTAAATAGTGTGGGTTCACGCGGTGGCCGATTTCTTTTTGATGTCGGGCGTTTTAGCAGACCTCTGCTAGTTGTGATACCCTTTCTGCTCATTTTTTCCAAATCAATTTTTTTCATGTATGACTTGAGTAGAATAAACAATAATAATAATAATAATGATATTGAAAAACTTCAAACAATTTTAATTTTTTTTTTTTATTTGGTCGGCGAGACAAAATAAAAGAAAAATTAGTTGGAAATATCTGGGCTTTTCAGTTAATTTGTAATGCAAATTATGCTTATTGAAAAAAGTAATAAATTCAAACTTTCATAAAAAAATTTATTACATAAAAAAAACTTAAAAATTTTGACCACACTGCAAACAACTTTAGAGACGTTTCAAAATGTTTGCCTAACATTATTTGCTTTTGAATTCTTAAAAAGAAAAAATCAAATCCCTTGTACCTTCAACTATTTTCCTTAGTCATTTTTTCCTTCATAATATCTTGTCTTTTAGCGATTTTCTAAAGCAAGCAATTTTTATTAAGGACGAAATATGTATTTTCTTTAGCTCCTTAAAAATATTCCAATAATCCATATTCTCTCTGGATTTAACGAAAAACTTACCAAGGAAAACATGAATTGTAGACTTTATTTAACAAAAATCCAATTTCCCCCTTTTTTTAAAAGAACTCCACAATGTTCCTGCGCCTGAAAAAAATGGAGCATGAAAGGGAAAAATAATGAAACGTGGAGCTGGTGGTATGAAGTGGAGAGGGGCATCTCTCTCTTTCACTCTCTGCTGGATGGCTGGCGAAACACACTGCCGGGTTTGATTTAATTAATTCAAATTGATTCTTGCCGTGTATTTGCAAACGAGAGCAGAGCAAATAGAGCAGAATGCGCAGCGTGGCGCGCGGCATGAAATAATATTGAGGCTGCATGCGAGCCCGCTCGGCGGTTGGTGCACAAGAGTCAAGTAGCCGCGCAAATATCGCCGGCGGAAAAAGCAAACACTTGAGACTCACTGTTCGGGATGTGCCGCAAATGAAAATTGTTGATCTCGACCGGCGCCAGCAAAAACAAATTCACTGCGACTGCCTACTCTGGAATAATAAGCGCACTTTTCATCAGAGACCGGTTTTTTTATACCACCGCAGATAAAAGGTGTTTGTATTTCGTTTGATTGGATTGATGCGAGTTAAAAGCTCCAATTTCCTTATTTATTTTATTTATCCGGAAAAGGCTGGTCTTTAATTTTCAGAAAATATAGATTTTTTTTAATCCAGGAGAGAATTCTCAAGCATATTGATATTGATAATTAAAAAATTGAATACTGAGATGAAGCATTGAATGGAATAATCTGAATTTTTATGAAAACGATTCAATATTTCGCAATATTTTATAAGTTTATAAGCAACTTTTGATTTCTGGATAATTAAAATTACGTCATTGTTTGAAATTTGGAATCAACGATGCTCAAATTTATCAAAACAGGACAAAAGCAAGTCCCTCTTTACTCCTTACTGTGTTTTTTTTTAATGCAGATTATGCAAATTTCAGCACAGATATTTGGGTTTTTGAAGAATAATTAGAAAATAAAGTTAATTATTTATTTAAATTTCAATTATGAAATATTTACCAGTAAAGTAATAATAACACTGACAAATTGAAACCATTTTAAAAGAGGGAGAACTCAACTGAAAAATAATGTAATTTATTTATTTGCAACTTTACAATCTTTTTACCCTTTATCATAATTTTTAATATTTTATAGCGGTTTCAATTGAACATAAATTTATTTATACACTATTAAAATTAATGCCACTTCTCAAACAAGCAATTTTTTGTTTCTGTTGCAGGGCATGAAGCACTGTCCTTCCATGAACCGCGAGGTGTACTACAAGGGTAAGAATCCACAGAGCACTCTCAACCTCGAGTCATTCGAATTGCTCTAAAAAGTGTGTCCTCTTTTAAATATTTTTCAAACAAAACTTATATAATTAATCACTCAAATAGTTTTTGAACGAACCGAATGCTAAATCAGCCCAATTTTATTTATGTTTCCCGCAGCCAACAGTTGGGGAGAAACGTAATCGGCGGCGGCGGCGGTCGAGAGAGGAGCCGGAACGTGAGAAAATTTTGCGAGTGCGTGCGCGAGTGCGACGGATGGAGAGAAATATAGAATAGGAAATAAATAAATACATGAAGAAGATCGCATCAACCAACACATATCAAACGAATGAGACGCTCACTTGTGATTCCACCTGCTGACAAATTGTTTAAAAATGAATGTGTGCGTCGTGTAGATCCATAAAAGTAAGTGCGCGCGGCCCCAATCATGGAAATGGACATCCCCGTGTAGATAAAAGGATAAAAAGCGAGCGAGCAGCCGGTTTGAGTGATTTCGGTTCCGATTTTATTGCCTCTCGTATAATATAAAAAGCGGACGCTCCCTTCGCTCTCTCTCCCCTTTTTTATTTTATTTTTACCGTTCGCAAAAATGATGCCTTCCGCGGAACGATGATGATCACGATGATTCGAATGTAATGAGAGCTTTATACGCATATATATCATGTTCTCCCCCCACCCCAAGTGTATGGACGTGCAATAATCCACTTTGTTTCGAATTTGCCGCTCGGACGAGCCGGACGCTGGTGCTGCTTGAAAAACTAATTTTGATACGTTGTTGCGGCCGTGAGAGCTCATTCAGAAATATATACACACATAGCGAGCCTCTTATCTTGTTGGCAGGTGAATCTCTAATTTTAATTACGTAAATCACACATATCTTTGCTGTTGAATTTCTGTGGCCGCTCTGTGAAATTTCAAGCGCCGATTGCATTTACATAATTAGCTTGACGTGCGCATTATTCTTCGTGATTAATTAATTTCGGCGGACAGACGACATGTTTTGTGTGTGCGTGGATTCCTTTGGAGCCGATATGAAATCATTATAAAACTTGTGTCTGCATGTGTGCGTGAGATCGGCTCGAAATGCTGGTGAAATGGATAGAGTCAATTTTAGAATATCTCTGAATAAATCTCATCTCCATTGAGACGGTGGTTTGCAATTTTGTTAGTTAATTACATTTTGTGCGCTTCCACAGTAATTTAAGTTCAAATTTAAACGTATTAAAAAGGATATTTTAAAGATTTTATAACTCTTTAAAAATTAAAATAAATGTTATGTTTTTTTTTAATCGTCCAGATGACAATTTTTAATTAAAAAAATCCCTAACCGTTATTAGAACTACTCAAAACTTGTTAACTTGTTTAAAGAAAATTAACAGTAATTTCAATGGCATTTCTTTCTCATAATTATAATGTTTTTCTCTGAGAATGAAATTTTCAAACTGACAAATTTGCGACCACATTTCTCTTTAAATTAAGATTTTTGAACACCTGACGAAATTGCTTCAATTGGCATCACTATATTTGTGAGAAAAGTACTTCTCATCGTCTTTTAACTGAAGAAATTTAATGAAGGAAAGACTTATCATCTAGATATGGCAATCAACCCAATGCGTTTTGTAGTAGTTTGAATGGCCTAATTGCAAAACTTATTCAATTTGCTTCCGCTCCAATTATGAATGAATTTGATTGATTTCAATTACAACTTTCATTGAATCGCATACATATAAAATACAAGACATAAAACAAATATATAACAGAACTGATAATAAATGTACGTTATAAGGAGATGTTTGATAGATCGTGTACTTTCCGTGGTGTAAAAGAACTTCTCCGATTGATTGATACATACCCCTAGCAGAACAAACTCTGTGAAGCCAAGAAGTTTTTAATAGAAAAAAAAACAACCATAGAAATGCTACTATACTGCTGAATTGGATGTTCATGTGCATGTACAGAAATTAAACGATATGTTATATTTATGATGAAAGAGGGGCAAGGAGTTGTGGAAATTATAATTAATTAAATCGAAACACACTTTTAATGTAACTGTTGCCTAATTAGTCTGACTGATACGGAAATGTATATCAACAAAAACTGTATAACTGTAAATTATGAATTTTAATTGAAAAAACAAACTGGCTTGCTCCCGCGTTACTTATGAATAAATAATGAAAAAATAATGTATAAATCTTGTTATATTCTTGTCAGCTGACCTAGGGATTGTTGAATTACGCAGCCATCAATTACTTTGGTTGGTCCAACAATAATTCTAATTTTTTTTGCTGTGTAAACACAGGCTACGTGACTTTCTGGTGGAAACAAAATTAAAAAAAAAAATACACTATACTCGGGCACATATTTGCATTTTGCTCGTTTAACTTTGACGCAGGCCGCGGTGCGTGATTTATTTTCCAATTTTTGGCATTTCGCCCCTCGGAGGATTAAACCGGTGCCACTATAAGCCTTGCATTTATTTTTTTTCGACGCGTGGAATAAATTTTTGCTTTGTCGTTGCCGATTCAAAAACTCTTGCTGGGCGAGAAGTTATTCGAAATGGAAAAATATCAGCTTTCGCGGAATAGTTCTAAAAAGAGGCTTACGTTTGATTTGGAAATCTGATCGGAACGTGCGACGGATTGCGAGGGATTTGCGGATTTGCTCCCCAAATATCAGTGAAAAGCTGCTATATTGCGTGGTTTCCTCCCCAGTTTGAATGAGCAGTCAAACATGGTTGACATAAAAGAGGAAGTATAACATAATTTAAAAGCGCTCTGGGATATTTGTTATCTCATTAATTTAAATTTAAATATTTTAAAACAAGAAAGCAAAGCTTTTTGCAAATAGAACGTAATATTTTTTCTCATTAAAAAAAATCTTGCCTAAAAATAAATAAATAGAAGATTGTATGTTTATAAAACAAAAACAAAATATTCAATATAAACAATCAATAAATGAAAAAATTTTAAACAGAGCTTTTCTTTATCAAGAGTAATATATTTTAAAGCATTTTTCATAAAAACATTTATCTGTAAGGAATATACTTTTTTTCGTAATTTGCCTTGTTGAGTGCCACTTTCTTCAATTAATTAAATTGTTTCCATTACCTTTTATGACTGAATATCACAATTTTCATTTACATAATTATACTTTTTTTAAATTTACAGAACTAACTAAAAATGAAATATAGAATTGGCAAAATTGCTATCATTTCATACATTTCTTTAGATTAAAAAAATAAAATAGTTAATATTTTACCTTCATAAACATGATTTTTTCAAGATAAAGCGATGCAAGAATGTCTTAATTGATTCACCCAACGTAAAATAACGTATTCCCGTCAGAGTCGTTCTTGAATTTGTAAAAAAATTGCAGTTTTCCTTGTAGAATAATGAAGCTGGTTGGGCTTGGAAATAAAAATCGAATGTTCTGTTTGCTCATCGGGCGGTGTAAGGATCAATTAGATTTGACCTGTAGAGACGTGAGGAGCGTGTTTGTGTGCGAGTCAAATCCTCTGCGGGGCGCAACAAAACCCTTATTTTTTTCCTTTTCTTCTCGCTTTTTCTCTTTTATACCCTTTCTTTCTTTCTTTCTTTTCCGAGACGGACGCGCAGCTGTGCTGCTCGAATTTCTTTCGCTCGTCTCCATTCAAGCGAAATTTCCCATGCGTTTTGTAACACCAGACGCGCGGCGAGAGGTTTCCTTCCAACCGCGATCCATTTCTTTTTTGATACTCCGATGGTTATGTTTTTATGTATTCATACCCGACGCTTCTACTCGATTTGAGCCGTGGAAAAAACCTCCCGCCGCTCGATTAATTGGCACTTTGTCGACTTTTATTGCTTTGGCGTGTCGCTGGCCTGATGTTGGACAAAAAGCTGTAAATCTTGGGCGACTCGTTTTATTTATATTTTATTTTTATGTGATGCTTTACTGACGACTGTTGATTTATGACAGGCGAGTTGTTTGATTTTCTGACAATCTAGAAAAGTGTATATGCAATCAAAATATCAAAATTATGACAAAAACAGATGATGTTGGCGTTTTACTTGTTGCTTTTGACCCCGAACGTTTGGTGCTTTTGGTAAAAAAGTTCATCAAAAATTACTGAACAAAAAGCAAATATTGACTTAATTATTCCAGTAGCCATCAGTCTCCATTTTTTTGCTTTAGGAAACCCACCAAGTGCAAAAGAATAGTAATTTTAATATTAAAAAGTAATCCACCGACCTTATTGAAGGTCATGCACAGCCTGGTCTTGAGCAGGGTGGCTCCATGATGTCTCGGCTTGCTGGTGATGATGAAGTTTGCTTTCCTAATTGGGGGAGGTCTTCAAAACGTTCCCTTTTATGGTGTCTGCAGTCTTGACTTGGTTCCTCAGTATTCTTCATTTGAAGTAAAATATTAAAAGCTTTTTAATGAGAAAAGAGTTTTTACCTGAGTGCACTGTCAATTGGCCTCTTTGGCTTCGTCCAACAAGGCCTCCAAGGGTGAGAGCCAACGTCAGTGATAGTACACCAGGGTGCTACAGCCAGGCAATCTAGCATCCGCAGCCCTGGCTTGCTAACCTGACGGCAGACTCTCCCGAACGAGGAGCTCTCGAAGAAATTGGATCGGAAGACGCTTTCAATTGCAGGGAGGGTTGGTTGCAGACATGTAGCGCCCGAGAGTGGACCTCGACATCCGGACATTCCGGACCTGCTTGCCCCGTCACCACCAAAGCCTCCAAAAGGATATGAGTTCAGTCCTGCAAAGTGAAAAATTCATCAGAAAATTGTCTATATTTGCTTAAAAAAAAATAAAATAAAAATAAAATCCAGTTTCATTTCCAAAGTGTGGTTGACTTTCAACCACTTTTCAAACTGAGTTTATCCTGAGAAATTGAGAATGTTCAAAACTTTTAGATATGATAACTGTTGTAATGCAATATGCAGTTTTGATTACATATCTTTATTAATTTAGCACTAATTAAATGGTAAACAGTGGTAAATATAAAAAACTAATGGCAAAGGGCAAAGTTTGGAGCAAAGAGAATTTAAAATTTTGGGCACACAAGTAAAATTTTCTAAAAATTATGTACTTTGAATTGAAAGCTGTTTGCTCTACTTTTTTTAAATTCCATCTTCAAATAAAAAATACTTGATTTTTCACTGAGATATTTGTTGCAAATATAAGATAATCACTTGTTTACTCTCAGATGTGTCATGTGAGGACTAGGGACTGGGGACTTTCAATTTTGGCTTCTTTTTTGTAATACCATTGTTGAAAAAGGGCCCAGATTTGAGAGAATGTTTGTCATGTGCACTCATTTTTTTATTTACCTTATGAGAGATTCTGGCCGATTTTGGGAACGTTTGAAGCCCGAAACCCCAACTTTGGTCTTGGCCTCAGGACCTCCAATGGTCTTTAAGGACAACATCGGCCCGCAAACACTGTTTTTGAGGAAAATAGTCTATTTACGAAGAAAGCACGAAGGAACACACACAACACAATGAAGTCACTGAACAACGCGCCAGGCTGGATTTGGCGATTTGGGCTGGAGCCGCTGGAGGTGGGAAGGCTGGCTGAAGGTCAAATACTACCAAGAAAACAAAATTTACATATCATTGAAATTAACTCCACAAAGTGTTTGAATAATTTTGATTTCCAATGTATTTAATTGTGGAAAATTTTATTAAATAGTTTAAAATTAATCAATCCATGGAATTTTCTAGTGACCAAATTACAAACTTTACAGCGTATTTATTTTGTTAAGTTGCCTAAGCAAAGGAATTTTAGAGCAGCTGCCTGTGGTGCATAACTGTTAGTTTGTGCTGTGGCTGTGGTGCAACCAAAATTTGCGGGTTCAAACTTCAAGCGAATGCCGAAAACGTTGGCTCCTTGGGCTGCCAAGTCGTAGCCAGTTAGCCACGATGCAGCCCACGATTTTCTCGACTCACCTTTTGTCAGTTTGTAATGTGAGTTTTTTTTATTCATTTTACGTATCTGGTATCAATTTCAACTCTCCTTCCGCAGCAGGTTTATGTTGTTTTCAGAATAATTATAAAATATAAAATACATGAAATAATTTATATAATTGAGGACTAATTATTGGTTTTTTAAGAACTTGTGCAAAGCAAGAGAACGTAATTGAATTTCGAATATGATTATTTCATTGTCATTCTGTTTCATTCTAACATTATTCAATGCAATTTACACAAATAAGGTTCAAGATAATATCTCCTTTTAATTTGTAAATTGAAATGTAAAGAAAACTTTTAAGAGATATTTCATAGTAAATTAATTTAAAAAAATCTTTGCCAATAAATGAAAAAAATTTAAATTGGAATAAAATTAATTGTATGTAGCATTTCAATACAAATTAGGCTGAAGTGATATTTTAACTTTTTTTATAATTTAAAATTTGTTAAAAAAATTTCTTTTGCCATTAATTATTAATTTCCTTCTTAATCATTAATTTTACGAAAAGTGCAGTTTCAAAGTCCGGTGCACTACTTTTGCTTGGTAGCATTTTTCTGTCTCAACTCATTTTGTGAACTGAGTTTCCTCCTCAGCCACCGATCTTTGATTCCAATATATTGCATTATTTTTTGCGAATAATATTGGTAAAAGGAGGCATGACTTCCGACTTCCACCCCGCGCGCATTATCATGTTCAACCACTTGTCCTTGTCTGCTGCTGTTACTCCGCAGCAATGGAATGACTCGAATGATAATCAAATTGAGAGCGAAACGAGACACAACATCAAAATAAAAATAATTAATCGGCCAGAAATATTTAGAATTATAACAAAATATTTTATCTTGATATGAAAAAAAAAATCATTTTGAGCACAAATTTTAGTTTAAAAATAATCCCAGGTTTATGCTAAAAAGTCCTTTAATAATTAGAAGTACAAAGGTTATTAATATTTTTATTTTATTTTCCTTCTAAAATTTGTGACAGAGCAGCTTTGAAAAACATATTAAAATCATAAATAAAATGATTTTTTTCAAAGAGTTCAAACTAAATATTCATTGGCCCACATTTTCACATTTCCCCCTGCATGCGAATTTATCTTTTTTTATGAATAAGCTGCGACCCGAACGCAATTCATGCGTCTAATGATCAATTTGGGCTCGATTCACGTCAAAACTCTCACCCTCGATCTCGCGTCCGCAGCGGCTTTGAGGCTTTTTATCGTGGGGGCCGGATAAAGAAAGATCGCCGGCGCCAAATTGCAGCACGGTTGCATTCATTTTATCAGCCGCTTGACTTTGGAGAAAGTGCGAGGCCACTTCAAAGGCAGGCCCGCCGGGGTGTATTATTTGCAGTGCCCGTATCAGGGGCCTATTTTCCCAACAACGCCCGTGATGGATGAGTGAGGTTTGCAACCGAGATGGCGACCGCTGCTGCTGCAACTGACTCAGATTTTTCTTCACGACGTTTTCCATTTACTTCACCGGCCATGAATGATGAGTTTCCTATGGACACACGATGAGAAATTTTCCCCTTTTCACCCCGAGCTGCCTGCCTGCGCCATAAGCACCGTGCATCACTGTGCAAAAGCGACCTTGCAATTTCATTTGGTTTCTTAAAAAAAATCTGACTGAAAGAATTTTCTTCATAATAATTTTTATTATTGTTATTAAACAATAATAATAATTATGAAGCAAATCCTTTTGGTCAGTATTTTTTCAGAAACCAAATGAAATTGCAATCTTCAATTTAATTGCTCATTTTTTCAACAAAAATACTTATAGAATAAAAAAAAATTGTCAAGTTGTTGTGAGAGATTAAAACAATTGATTTGAAATAAAAACGTTTAAATCTGGCATAAAATTAAATTTCCAACTCTACATTTATCAATCAGTTCAATGGTAAACCTCTTCTATAATAAATAGTAGAATTTACTTATTAATTAAAACAATGTGTTATATTTCAAACCGCAGTCACTAAAATTTCATTCATATTCAAAACTCACTGTTTAAAAGCTATTATTTTCGTTGTTTATTGGTCTGATTGCTTTTTCACATGACAGAGAAAAAAATTTGGGGATTAAGCGACACCACTATTACCAATAAGGATTTTGTTCACAAAGAAGAAGGAATGTTACATTTTTATGTAGTATACTGTTTTTAAATTAGACCGCAACTAGTGCAACATCCCATTCAAATTCCAATGCATGCGTCATACTGCGCATTGCCAGTAGATCCAACTGAATTCTATACACGATACAACACGATTCGACAAGCATAAATTTTGCTCCCTTCAAAATATCCCTTCCCCTTTCCTCCTCCCGCCTCCATTTTCAGCCATCCACTATTATTTCATCTATTCATCAGTATCATTTTTTTATCAGTGAACAAATGAGTTGTGAACAGAATGCCATGGATTGTGAATTTTGTTACCTTCTCGATAGTTTGAATTAGTTTTTAGGCATTCTCATCTTTATCAATTCCTTTCCTGCTTGTAATCATCACGTTATCCTTTCGACAGACAACCTGGAAGTGTTCAGCAGATTTCCGTCTCCACAACGTGGTTGGAAAAGACAGGAACCCAAGGAAGCCCTGCGGCTCAGCGTTGCAGTCCATCGCCGGTGAGTAGCAATTTGTCACTACCCGCCAGAAGGACATTTTGTCAATTTGAGAAACATTAGCCGGCCGCAGTCCCGACGACTTCACCCGTCCGAAGTACATAGAGACAGAGCTTAATTGCATTTTTTTTCTTCGTCCTGGCCGGGCTTGTTGATAAATTATTTACTTGTGTACGTGTTGTTTTTTCTCCGGACGGCGAGTTTATTTGGAAACAATTAACCGGCTGAGCGAGCGGGTTCATTTTCCAGTTGTCATCAGAGCGAGTTTTCGCTCAGGGCCAAGCGTGGGCTTGTGGTTATGCAACCTGCTCTCTGCTCTCTCAAGAACGACCGAAGCAAAACTTGCGCCTCCGCTGGGATATATTAAGGCGAGAAAATGAAAATAAAAAAGGGCGAAAATGTAATTAACTAAAGAATGAGTTCTAGGGCTTATTTCGCGTACATGCAAGCAGATAACTAAATTTGTATTAAACTTTGGAAATTAACCAAGAAGTTGACGGCAAAACTATCATTAATTAGATCCGATACGCAATTTAATCGACGCTAATTTAAAACTTCTCATCCAACTATGACATTTTTCAGCATACATGAACATGACTGAAGAAGATTAAATTTTTCAATATAAACGTACACGACATATTTAATAAAATGGGAACGGAATTGCTCTTTTGTATCAATCTGTTCACAATTAAATAGTGAAAATATTTTATTTTAATGTTCAATATATTTGCAAAGTATCTTATTTATATAATATCATTTATTATAGTTAAAAATATTTTTTTTTTTCATTTGAATGGTCTCAACCAATTTATGATTAGTCAATTAAACTGGTTTCGTACTTAATATTTGATAATTTGATACTTTTAAATGAAAACCAAAGGACGGGTATTGTTTGATCAAATTAAATAAATCTAAATTTTTTTTAGTTATAAAGTGATATACAAAATCCAAATATTGATACCACCTCTTACTATTATATAATTTGGAAAATTTTTGCCAATTATTTTTATTTTATGTTTTGAAACACTTAGAAAACATTGAAGAGTGGCCTGTTGCAGAAAAATAACACATCAATGTCAATCGATTGTTCTCAAGTGCTTTCCGTTGTGGAGCAAACGGCAAAACACACATATGCTCTCTTTTCCTCCACCTCCTTCCTCTCTTTGATAAATCAAGTTTACAACAGCTAGTGTGGCACTGCACAGGTGAAATTTCACCCCATTTTCCACTGTTGGCATTTTTTTTCCATCCCTCTTATATAAATTTCGCCTCTCTGCACTTGGAGAGCGCGGAGGGTTTCTTTTTCTTTTTTGTCAATAACCTTTTGCCCTCATATAGCCTCGTTATCGAGGCCCTAGGCGTGACTCTCAACACTTTTTCTCTAACCCTCTTTGCTAACTACTACTATGGTAAGGCGAAAGCAACCTCCGCTGGGAATTGCAGCAGCCACTGGAATCTAATGAAACTTCTTTTATCTGCACCGGCGGAGAGCGGGTGGGCGGAAAATAGATCTCTCGCTCGCTCGCAGTTATGCTCTTTGCTCTGCTCCCTCTTCACCTTGCTGCCATGCATGTAATGATTCCACTAAATTTCGCCCGTCCAATTACAATAAATTGAGCACGTAGCCTTCCCAAAGATTCCGCCGCAGCCGACGTTTCTGACTTGGTTCGATTTCGGCGACTCGCACCGGTTGATAAGCCGAGTGACAAAATCCAATTCGCGACTCCCGTGCTCCCGTGAGTGCTGATTGAGACATTGAAAATTGAACTCTCATATTGAGCATTTAGAGTAGACTCACTAAACCCCAATTTATTTGTTAATTTTCTGAAGAAGTATGTATAAAAATTTAACAATTCAGTCAAGCTTTTCACCCTTTTACAATTTAATGGCATTGATTATTATTCAAGAGAGCAAAAATGGTAAATTCAAAAAC